TGGATAACGAAATTCTGCCGGGCCGCTGCCTTTAACGGAGCCTCATACCACTACGCCACTCGTCCTCCTTGTGCGTATTGAATAAATAAATAAATATTAGGATTCAACAACACTGATTTTGAGAAAAGCATTTAGCTTAAAAATGCGCATGAATCATTAACTCTGTACTCACTGTGATACTCATTCAGGTTCCTGAGTCACCAACCCATGGTAAAGATAGGATTTTGAGGAAGTGTTATTCACTAACTAATTTGAGCTTGATATGAACATTGGTATGAGATTCGTGCGACAAAAACATGCTCAGGCGCTGCCTGCCAGGTCTCGATACAGGTGGCACAGGGCAGGCCAGATATTATTTTTGGGTAAAAAAACATAGGATCGTTTTTGGAGTCGTTGAATCAAGATCAGTGGAAATTTTGCAAAAAAACGTTATGGCACCCCATGTGGGGTGCTCAGAGAGGAACACATGATACCAGTCTGTTGCCACAAAACTTTATCGAAACATCTCAGGTTTATTGCATTAGTAATAGAAGGTGCTGGTATTTAGAATCTTGCCCTTGTCTTTTCAAAGCTTGTAAGCTTCTCTAGCCAGTTTCCTTTCCATTCGACGGCGCAAACTTGTGAAGTACCAGATTCTCTGAAGCCATGATTTATGTTGGAGTTCATCTGAAGATAGCCAAAAGCTGACTAACTCCTGGATGTTTTTTGTCAAAACTTTTCAGTGCTTTAAAGTATTCTTTCAAGGTCATGTTTTTGTTGCTTCCTATAGCACTGTACTCTTTGTAGTCATCTACGAGTCCTCGCAAAGTCTCCAGTGCCATATCATCAACTTTCTTTTTCAATTGCTCTCTCGCTTCGATGGACTTCTTCAATTCTTCCTGAAGAATTTCGATCAAAACATCAAGGATGCGCATGTTTACGTTTTGCTAGGCATCTATCTACACGGATAATCTCTAGCTAAGCACTTACCGTTTTTTTCGCTTCCCAATCTAACAGCTTTTGTTTCAGCTCCGCTAAGGTCATATTCTCATATTTCTTGAATTCATCACCTCTCTCCCGTGGGTGATAGTGATGCCACAGCAGGAATGAGTGTAGATGAGTCAATGCGCTCGAGGCACAAGTGAGCACGATTAGAGCAGTTTGGAGTGAAGGCATTTCTGACGCTTAAATATGTGGGTAAGAAAAGGAGCTCAGCCAGGTCTTGAGCCGTTTCCGCTAGACTGGTCCTTCTGCAGTGCTGTTGCATGTCGTCGCAGGACTAGTAGTACCGGAGGCGGCTCAAACTGGCAGAGTTTTTCCGCCACTCTGAATGTAAGGTTATGATCTGTCCCAATCGAGATCAGGCAATGTCTTAAAGGCAGCGTCCAGGCAAATCTGGACATATGGGG